ACAATATATTCATTTTAGAAACATACTCTCATGAATATAAATTTAACAACAATGCTCTTCAATGCATATAACACAATCCAGTAAATACATCACAAGTCTAAATCCATGCTCTTAAAATAGAAACAACTTCTAAAACATGATTAGATCCATAGATAAATAAGATAGAATTTAATTACATCAAAATAATTAAACTCTCTAGATTTCAAATCATTTCCAAATGGCCTCAATTTAATATATGATAAAAGACATATCATGGTCATTACATATATTCACACAAAAGCTTAATTAGGCCCATGAAACCACAAAAATAGATTTTAATTAATTCTCCTAATTAAAGTCTCTAGATTTCCAAACTCAACAAAATGCTCTCAAATTAAAGTATGTTAAAGAACATGCCATGACTTAATTTAAAAGCATATTACAACTCAATTTCATGCAAGGTACGGCCATGAACTTTAATCTTTCACAAAAGATAAATATTAATTAAAAAGAGCAATTCTTATTTAATTAATCCCAATTTAATATATGTTAAGCAACATATTAAAACATGATTTTCTACCACGCCACAATTTAAGTCCAAATTACACATCATCATGAAAATTTAATCTTACACAAAGAAAATTTAATCTTACACAAAGAATTAAATATTTCAATTTTCCTAGATTTGATACAAGGCATACATATAGGTTGTACAAACATGAAAAACACAGAATACAACACATATAAAATCCTAAAACATTCCCCACCTCCATTTGGGATGAAATCCCAAATCCCTACCAAAATAAATCGGCTTCGAATCCGACGAAACTCCTAGGTTTTGTCGGGGACAACACCATGAACATGAATTCCAAGGAAGCCCCATCAAAAACACAACTTGACTTCAAACCCGAACTCAAGAAATGGCCAAAACGAGATTTCAATCGGTTGGAATCGAAGGACTCGCGAACACGAACATAAAACACTAAAGCACGCTAACTTTTCGTTGAAGGGAAGAAGCTCAAAAGAGGAGAGAGAAGATGGAAGCCATGGGAGGAGCTTGGACCGGCCATGAGAGAGGAGAAAGAGAGAGGAAAATCTGATTTTTCAACCACTAACCCCCTATTTATAGAAAAACTCAAAAAGTGCCCCGAACGGGCCCCGCCGGGTCCGAAAAAGTGAAATTTGAGCAGACGCGCTCAAAGGGGAAAACTCCGTGAACGAAAAAGATTCAAGATGAGAAAATATGAGCAACGGAAGAAACGGCGTCAAAAAATTGAGTCCCGAGTAGAGAGTTATGCCCCAAACAAGTTTGGCGCAAACCGGGGCCAGAATCCCTGAAACTGGAAAACATCATCCAGGAGGAAATTCTAAGAGTGCACGACTCGACGAAATGTGAAAATGAATCACGTACGAGGATCCAGGCTCAAAACAAGGCATTGAGCAATAACTTTCATTAATTGCACAATGGCCCCTCCAAAACTACGAAACTGCCCCAGAATGAAAATATCTTCCAAAAGATATTTTCTTAGATACCCTTGAAATAAAATATCTTCAAAATTTATTTACGAAAAACACCCCAAGAAATGGAAATATTTCCAAAGAACAATGCATCCACGCCCCTATGGACACCGGGAGCAACGAGAGTACTTTCTCACGAAAGTAAAGATACGTATCTCATATAAATCATTGAGAATGAAGGTACGTGAAGTCAGAAACCAATTCCGAACACAAGAAGTGTGGTTACACAAAAAAGTTTCGAACGGGAAAAAGACAAAATAGGGAAAAGGACGAAAAGTGAATAGTGTCAAAAAAAGAAAAATGTGGAAATGACTCTGTCCTCAAAGGAAGTTGTCAATCCATAGAAAAGAGTTTCGGATATCACTCCAGAGCACTCAAGATGACACTAAGCGACAAGAAACTGAACTCAGAAAGGAAAAAGATGAACGGAAAAAAATATTCGTGAAAATCTGAGGAAAGGGAAAGGAATGAAAATGATCAGGTCATTACAGGGTCCTTGGCTAGCACTCCACCGGTGTCATTAGAGGTGATGTCCCTTTGTTTTGTAGGTAAACACCGTCGTTCGGAGTCGCGAGGATTTTCGCATCAACAATTGGCGCCGTCTGTGGGAACGATTAGTTCTCTGAAGAAATAATACTCCTGACGCGACTTGGCTCAGACGGCAAGACAAAAATTTTCGATCATGGAAACCATCCCAAAGTCATTAGTTGACAACGGGTTTCCATGTTCTTATATAAGGACGGGACTCTACATCTTGACTACCCGTCCATTATACTGGGGGCAGAACGATGGGTTGTGTGATGCCATCTAGTGTACGATGACAATAATTAAAATTTGGCACGTCTACCCAGGCAATCTATTGTGGTGTTTTCCATCTAGCGATGCTTGGTCCCCTCACTACTGAGGTTTGGTCATCTAAGACCAAGCTCTATCTCATATCAGGCAGCCGCCAATTACCAAGGCCTGATCATTGAAGACTAAGGCCTAGTCCTCCTGCACCTACACAAATGGGTAGGTCTCCACCCATCAAGAAGATCACTACTAACAAGGGGGTCTCTACCTACTAGTAAAGCCTCTACTACTGAGGATGTCTCTAGCAACGGAGTCTCATTACTTCATCCGTTCGTGCAATCAGGGTGGCCTTTTACACCCAAGAATGTATCGAGGCCTTCAGGTCCAAGGAGGTCTAATGTCCCTTAAGATCCCATGCTTAATGAAGTCTGTATTCCTAAGGAGGTTCCTAAGTTAAGGGTAATCATAGGACCCAACGAGGTACTGGCTACCAGACCGTCATCTGGTACTGGCCACTAGACAGTCATCTGTTAGCCGTTGGGTACCACGCCCCTATCCACTAGGCATCAAGCCAGTCGCTGGACACTAAGCCTTCACCTACCAGACGACAATCGTCACCTCTCTTCCCTTGCAAGAATTGCCTATCGACTTCAGATTATGCAGAATTTTGGATTGATAATCCATTGGAGGTTAATTTTCAGTAATTATTCTAACACAATCTAATGTTTTTAGACAACTGTAAATTGTTGCAGCACTAGGAGCTCCATCCATTGTATAAACGTCTATAGAATGGGTCATCACCCAAAATCCCACCATCGGGGGCAGAATAGTGGATCACACGATATCAATCGTCGATCTGCATATGATGATAAGGTCTAGAAGATTGACGTACCAACCTTGGTACATCAAGCTAGTCGGGTTTCTAGTCTCTCTCCTTTAGCGACCCCTTGGGGGCACTTGTCGTCCAGGACGAGAGACCAACAACACATTCTTCCCTCATTAAAGGGACAACAAGCCGACTACTCCTTCTACATAGAAGGGTGAGATAATTAAAGCTTCCTTCTTTTACTAGAAAGACAGAGACGACAACCTCTCGTATTAAAGGGGTCACCCTCTTTCAGATTGCACCTCTTTCCCCATAAAGGAACGAAGGGTCAACTTCATCTTCTTCCCTCGGTTAAGAGACGATGGGTTAACTACTCTCTTATTAAAGGGAGAGCTCACAACGCTCGAGCAAATTCATTTCCCTTCTTAAAAGGGGCAAGAAAGTAATCATCAAGCATGCTTAGCTCAGTAGGACTTCGCATTCCCGACGCCTGACAAAAATCTAATTCCCTTACTAAAGGGATACAAGGGATAATAATGAGTGTTCTATATTAAAAGGACCAGGGCTGAATGAATCCCGTAATCAATATTCCCCACGTACTATAAGGGATAGTAAATAAATGTCCTATACTACAAGGACCCGGGCTGAATAAATTCCGTAATTAATATTCCCGTACTATAAGGGATAATAAATAAATGTCCTGTACTACAAGGACCCGGGCGGAATGAATCCCGTAATTAATATCCCCGTACTATAAGGGATAGTAAATAAGTGTCCTGTACTAAAAGGACCCGGGTTGAATGAATCCCGTAATTAATATCCCCGTATTATAAGGGATAGTAAATAAATATCCTGTACTAAAAAAGATCTGAGCTGAATGAATCTCGTAATCAATATCCCCGTACTATAAAGGATAGTAAATAAATATCATTTACTAAAAGGACCCGGGTTGAATAAATCTCGTAATCAATATCCCCATACTATAAGGAATAGTAAATAAATATCCTGTACTAAAGGGATGATTATCCAAAGAAAGATTACCCACGGTAACATTACCTCAGGGAAGATTATCCAAAGGAAGAATATCCACGGGAATATTACTCAAGGGAAGAGTACCCAAGGGAAGATTACCCACGGTAACCCAAGGGTAGCAAAAGGAAAAAAAAAAAGTTACTGTTCATGTGAACAGTACCTGCGGGAATAGTACCCGCGGTACTGTTCCCAGGGCAAAAAAAAAAAGGGGGGGAAAAAAAAAAAATTACTGTTCATGTGAACAGTACCCGCGGGTACTGTTCCCAGGGCAAAGAAAAAAAAAAAAAAAGTAGTTACTGTTCATGTGAATAAAATCCGCAGGTGTTGTTCCCTGGGAACAGTGTTGAGGGCAAAAAAAAAAAAAAAAAATTACATTCCCAAAGCTAGACGAGCAAGCTTAGGAATGGGGGGCAACTGATAGGGAAAAATAAACCTAACCTATCTTGACCTAACGATAGAGGCAACTAAGTGTTGACCAGCCGCCAAATTTCTTTTACTTTTGAAAGATAATATTTCGTTATCAATGATAACGATTTCCATTGGATAAATTTCATTGGATAATGACAAATCTTATCAAGGATAAGATTTCCATGGGATAAGTTCTATGGGATAAGGATTATAATATTTCCTTATCAAGAATAAGGGAAGTGATGATAAATAGGAAGACGACTCGGGAATAAGGTACGGGAAAAAAACCCCTAAATATGATATACATAATTATTATGTGATACGCACAAGTACTAACTTGATCATCGGAGGGTCCTTGGCTGGCAACCCACCGGTGCCATTCGAGATGACGTCCCTTTGTTTTGTAAGTAAACGCCGTCGTTCCGAGTCGCGAGAATTTTCGCATCAACACTTGGCAAGGACACACACAAGGTTTATAGTTTTCTTTTGCACGAATGATGGAGACTTGACAAAGAATCGTTAAATTGTGTGTTTCATAGGGCATTTATATGTTTTTCTTGAATGATACAGTCATGAGGACTTTGCAAAGAAATGATAAGTCCAAATGTCATAGGTTTATTTGTATATTTTGCAGTAATTAATGATTGTGAAATGCACTACAAGTGTGTGATTGATTTGTTTTGCCTTTGTAATGGTTTTAAGTTATCTGAGCATATTGAGGTAATTTAAGTTATTTCCTCATCTTTGTAATGGTTTAAAGTTATTTATGCTTATTGATATTTTGACATTGATACTTCCCAAGTAAGGTTACTCCAATTTAGGAAGGAAGAAAAAAAAGAAATGGTCTGTTTTCTTGATAACTATTTTCTCATCTGATAATGCATAAGAAAGATGTTTAAGATTTGATTACTTTCAAACTTATTTATTTATTTCTTTCTTAATCACAATAAAGATCATTCTATTTGCAAAAAATTGCTAATAACTCACTAGTTACAAAAGTTGAAAGCTATATATAATCATCCGTTGTGCCAAACACTAGGGAATAATATTTTGCTTCTCCATGCTCGAGTACTAGGATTTTTTTTAGGTCAGCCTTGTGACGTTATTACCCCTGTTTAAATTAATCTCTTCACAGCAGCAAAGGTCAATTTTGGTACTTAAAAAAGGTTAATTTTGGAATTTACAGCGATATATATATAGATATTGGATATATTATTATTATTATTATTCTTTTTTCAGCTTAAATATTAATGGTTCTTCATTAGTCATATGGGAGTGGGAACTGGGTGGGTGTGGCCGATAGTATTGAATGGGTCAATAACTCATTCTCAACCTGTTTCAAATTTTATTTTATTTTATTTAACTTTTACCGGATCTTTTGTGATGACAAACTTCTGATATTGACTTTCAACTATCTTCAAATTTAAAATGAGAAACAAAGTTTCATTTTCTTTTTTAATCCCCAAACGACGTTTTTTTGACTGCTATATTAAATTGAAAAATACAAAGATTAACTTAATTCGATAAATAGTTATAAAAACTAAAAAAATTTGCAGAATTGAAAAAATGATTCTTTACTTAATTCGATGAATGTTGTGTTTTATCAATTTACTTAATTCTGTATATATATATTTTTCTGCCAGAAAGGTATTAAGGGAATCCAAATACTATATAATTAAGATATTTGGTGTTCTTAATCTTAAACTGAGTTGTGTTTTGTATGCCTTCTACAATTTCTTTCTGCCAGTAAGGTCACACTCATAATATCAAGAGATGCCTAGATAAATCTACCATGTACTATATTAACCAATATAATCACAATAATATCACCTGTCTTCTATCGGATGCCTGTAAGCCTAGCTTGTTTTGTTCTAGTTTTAATAAACTAGCTAGCTCTAAAAGAAGAAAATAGTTCTAAAAGAACTAAGTTTACATAGGCATAAGTTTTTTTATTTTATTTTTCCAAACAAATAATTATACAAGCATAGCAATATTCTTATGAAAACTTAAATCCTCAACTTTACACTCTAAAAATTAGAGAAAATAGCATCAACTATAGCCATTGATTGAGTGACATTTTATTTTCTCAAAAGGCTATTTTCTTTTGAGTTTGAATTGTATATACTTTGTTTTTAGTCGCGGATTTTAATATATTGGCTCTTTACACACAAAAAAATAAAAAAACAAAAATAAATAAAATAACTTCTAATAACAATTACAGGCCAACCATATATTTGAGAATTTATGCCAAAATGTCAAACATGCATTACCCATGGCTTTGATGCATCTTTTGAATAATTATCTAAAACACTACCTTTTTGCAACAAGTATTCTGTAACTGCGGTCCAAAACCACACAATAGATAACATTTCGACATAATTAACATGTTTTTTTTTTTTTTTTTTTTTTTTTTTTTTTTTTTTTTTTGGAGTTGCAAATTTTATACTATAAGTATACAAAAGTTTTTCTTTAATGACATGTATCTTATTAAGAGAAGCCACTCTAGAGGATCAGAGTTTGGCATTGAATACAAATGCAAACAAGTAAAAAGAAACACAATGCAACACACATACCTGATAGCTGGTGGAAACTCCATGGTGGAGCTGAAATTCTTCATTTCCTTGATGTACCTCCAGACGAAAAAGTCTACAAAGCCATGAACGAATATGGGCTCATCAAATTTGGCTTCTTCGCCCATTCTTTTTTGTCCTCTGTTTTTTTTGGTTCCTTCCAAAGGTGCTGACAAACCATTCATGATACCTTGCGGCAAAAGTGTGCCCAATGATCAACCCAACTACTAACCCACCTCCATAGCCCATGCATATCACAATCCAATCACTTTTATCAATTGCAAGCCATGAATGATCATCATCTTGTTTGAAGTTCGAAGGTAGTGGTGGAGGCAGTGATGCCTCTGAGTTGACACATTTGTTCAACAAAGGGTCTCCACACAATCCTAAATTTCCCTCATATGAATTGTTCGGAAATGTATCGAATTGCCTCCCTCGTGGAATCGGCCCTCTGAGATGATTAAAAGAGACATTGAAGAACGCAAGGAACGTGAGTTGGGTTAGTGGCTGAGGTATCTTTCCTGAGAGATTGTTTTGAGAAAGGTCCAAGGATTCAATCTCTGTTAGATTCCCTAACGAAGATGGAATCTGACCAATGAGATTGTTGTTGGAAAGATTGAGCATGAGAAGACACTTGAGAATCCCAATAGATTCTAGAATCTCTCCTTCAAATCTGTTGCTTGACAAATCAATGGTAGTGAAAATATTTAGGATATACAAATACACAATTTGCACACCTTTGCTTGTCAGTGTCAACGCGTAAGTACTGCCATTGTTAACAATATCGGTTGCTCCCCCAATATATGTTGATTCATTAACATCAATAGTTTTCATGGCTGTTAAAGTATGGGAGTAATCAAAAGGTAACTTACCATTGAAACCATTGTGAGAGATGTCAAGAATGTGCAATTTGGAGAAAGCAAAACTGGAGTTAGGGCTCTATATTGCACCATGGAATCTATTCAGGAAGTGTTTGAAGCCAAAAGGGAAAAATGTCATCGATCTGATTGTTCCCAAGATCAAGACTCTCTAGAATTGAACAATTGACCAACAAATTTAGCATTGGCCCTTCCAATTGGTTTTGACTCAAGTTGATCATTCTTAGTTGGGTTCCATTCTTGTATGTTTGAGGAATGGGGCCACGTAATTTATTGTTTCGAAGATTCAATAACTCTAGAGAATCAGAAAAACTGGCCAAGCAATGGGGAATGGTGCCACTCAGATTGTTATAAGTTAAATCCAGGACACGAAGAGAACTCGCATTGCATATCAGCTGGGGAATCTCCCCTGTCAGTTTGTTGTTTGCAACATTGTAAAACTGGATGGATGATGATGGGACGAGGAGTGGTCCTTGTAGCATGTTAGAACTAAGATCTAAAAGCCATAGTCTGTCCCACAAAAGACCTACTGGATGTTCGAGAAAGGCGCCAGTTATAAGGTTTTGAGAAAGGTCAAGGGTTTCAAGAGTTTGTGTACTCGTGTTCCATATCCATGTAGGCAGGGGGACTTGAATATTGTTGTTGCTGAGGGTTAAGGACAACAACTCATCTTTAGTTTTCAAGAAATCTGGGAACTCAGTTAAGTTGCATGAGTTTAAACCGAGGTACATAAACTTTGGAAGCGTAGCATTGATGAAACTACTTGGGAACAATGTTAATTGGTTACTTGAGAGCTCAAGAGTAGTAAGATTTTTCAGAGTAAGAAACACATCTAGCTCCACTATTCCATTTAGGTTATTACCATCAAGATAAAGAACTTCCAAATTCATAAGTCGAGAGATTGACTCGGGAATTGGGCCGTGCAACAAATTAGAAGAAAGTCGAAGATATAGGAGTTGTGTAAAATTACCTAAGGAATAAGGTATCTGACCCATAAAATTGTTGAAACAAAGGTCCACATATAGTAGTTGTGTAAAATTACCAAACCAAGACGGGATTGGCCTTGAGAAATTTCATCCTGCCTACTTCAAATGATTCAAGGATTTAAGTTGTTTGATTGACTCAGGAATTGGGCCGTGCAACAAATTAGAAGAAAGTTGAAGATATCTGAGTTGTGAAAAATTACCAAAGGAAGAAGGTATTTAACCTGTAAAATTGTTCAAAGAAAGGTCCAGATATAGCAGTTGTGTAAAATTATCAAACTAAGACGAGATTGGCCCTGAAAAATTGCAACCTGCCATCTCCAAATGATTTAAGGATTTAAGTTGTCCGACTGAATTTGGCAGTTCTCTAAAAAAGTTGCTTCCGAGAAGGCTCAAATAAAGGAGTTTTGCAAGATTACCAAACGAATACGGAATTGACCCTGTGAAATTGCATTGTGACATATCCAATTTGTTCAAGGAGTGGAGATTTCCAATTGAATTTGGCACCACTCCAGAAAAGTTTGTTCTTGATAGTCCCAATTCCTTGAGTGGACTCCTCTTGTGAAATTCAGGCAAGTAACCGCTGAGATCTGGACTGTCCTTCACGTTAAGAAACTGTAGGTTTGGTAACTTAAAAATGTTTGCCGGAAATTCACCTTGTAATTGACAATCTTCGAGAAACAGAGAGGCTAAAGATGAAAAATTAGCCAAAATGTGAGGTACCTGAGAAGATATTTTTACTCGACTGAGGTGAAGCTGTTTTAAATCCATCAAGTTCTGAACTAAACTTGTTAGACCAGGCTTAAGGAGCTCCACTAAATTTCTTGAGAGATCAAGAGAAGTTAATTTGGTTAAATTTGAAATTTCCAAAGGGATTTGACCAGCAAATACAGAATATGAGAGATTGAGATAAGGTAACCTCAAAAGAAGTCCAATAGCAGATGGGATTTGAGAGTGATTGAACCAATTGTCTGCAAGGTTGAGTCTTCGAAGGTGAACAAGGTAGAAGAAGGTATGGTTGGAGTTGATAAAACCAGAGAGAAAGCTGCTATTGAGGTCAAGGCCAATGACACGGCAGTGTCATCATCACAAGTGACACCGTCCCATGAGCAGTAATCACCGCTACTAGTATTCCACGATGCAACCTTTGGATAAACTGAAGATCCAGAGATATTGGTATAGACTTTATAATTGAAAGGCTTTGACCGAAGTGCAACAAAGCAGAGTTGTCATCGTGGTGGCAGAGTGGCTTCTGTTGCTGGAGAGAAGGGAAAGAGTGAACAAGCATGAAATAATGAGATGTAGTGATGATCAGTAGGAAGAAGAGCAAGTAGTGCAAGAATAATATTGGTGAAGAACCACCCATTCTCAATTATATGATATATAGAGTCTTATATAAATTCTCTTTCTTTGGCACTTACATAAGCATATATGATGAAAATCAAGAGGTGCTGTTTATATAGAAGAATAACAAAATGATATATATATCCTAGAGTCAAGGCAAGTCAAGTCAAGTCAAGTCTCCCCAGTATAATTGATAAGGTCTTAAAACTACAATTTTTTTCCACTAGGGACATCTTCATCTTAAGTTCCACTTCGCTACTTTCTGGCCAAGAGATAATCACCACACATGAAACACGCACACACACAAGATATTATTGGGCTACACTAATTGATGTAAACGTGGGTTTTGGGAGTAGTCTGAGAAGAATAAAAATTCCACCCCACTACAATTACACATAGGCCTATTAATTACTCCTAAGCATATGTATGTTTATAAAATTATTCTATTATTAATGTTTTCTTCTTTCCGTTTTTTTTTTTTTTTTTTAGATTTCCAAAGATAACAAATTCGTGCATATTATTAGTTAAGATTCAAGAAACCAAAATTTTATATTTTTACCAAAAATAATAATTATTTTAAGCTTTGAAATAACAGGGTTTCAAAAAATGACATTAGACCCCCAAAAAGTTTTTGATCTCACATTTTACTTGTTTTTCTTTTGTTTTATTAGAAAAATAGATTAGCAGAATTCTCCATGTATTCCAAACTTTACAATTGTTTCAAAAAGAATAATTTCACTCCATTTTATAGGATTAATTGTATTATTATTTTTATTTAAAATATCCAAGTGTTGCACTTCTCCAACCCACCATGTTATCATCCCTAAAATGGAGGGCAATAAACGCACTAAAATAAATGTGTGTGTATGTTAGTATTAAATTAGTGGCTTGCATTATACTTTTAAATCCCATGTTGCCCATTTTCTAACCGATGTTCTCAATCTGGAGCCCTTTCTTTCCATTATAGAACTCATGTAAGCATTTAGGATGCACAAGTGTATGGACCTGCGCCAAAATATAAATCACCCCACATTTTTTTTTTATCACAATACCACTCCATGTAAACTATAATAATTCGTGTTAAGCCATTAATCACAAATTTACATGAATCCCATATCTTAGAATTTCATGATTTTCACATATCTATAATGCATAAATAAATACTAGTAAGATATAAATACCTCGATTCACGATATCAATTCTTGTTGAGATTAAGTCCAATGTTCAGATCCTTTGGCCACGAACTAATCTGCAACTCTGATCAACAGGCAATGGTGGAAACTGGTTTCTCTATCTTGACCTTTTGTACACATAAAAATTTTACGTGTTGTATCATTAATTGTATATAATTGATGAAGTATATGCACTTTTATAAAGGCAGGGAGAGGACCAGTTTTCCTTATAGTAACATAATTCTACTTTCCATCAAAGTAAGGAATAAGAAAGGAAAACACTTCTCCAATAAGTAATTACCAAAAAGGTAATTATAAGTTGACCAAAAATAAATAATATTAATTGATATCTATTTACTTACCCACCAAGTAATATGTCACATGTCCAAATCATGTGGGCCACAATTAAATAAATAATCTTACATTCTCCCACTTGGCACATATGATAATTTCTGTAGTGGTTTAGTAAAATAGTCATTAATGTGCACCACAAATCAGATTAACTTATTAAATTGGTCATCATAAATACCATGGTAAATAAACTACCAATGTGAGTCATGGCGGTTGTATGTCCTTAAATGACACAGTCCCTTCCATGTACCACAACACTAGTAATCTATTCAATATAGTCTATAAATGAAAAGTATCAATAATGATCTAACAATAATGTCTTTTCCAAGACTATTCCTATTACCACTTATTAAAGCAATACGTACATGTACATTAATTAATAGGAAATATCATAAACACATTTAATCAGCGCAAAATGTCAAATATATATAAGCACTATTTAAGCAATTCACAATTAAAAAATAATCATCATTGACTACATTTAAGACCCATTCTTTCAACATGTTCCATAAATGTCTTGGATGGTAGTCCATTCATTAATGGATTGCAATCATAAGTTGTGCGCTTATAATTTCAATAGACATTCGTTGTTTCTAAATATCTTCTTTAATGATAAAGTATTTCAACTTTAGAATACCTATCATTTTTCATACAAGAAGATCAACAATTGCAGCATAAATTTTCAGCAATCTGAAAACGGTACCCATAACTCCAAGTCCTGAAATAAATTCTGCAACCATAAATTATAGCCTCAAAGCATGCTACAAATTAAAATTTCATAATAGACAAAGTAATCATAAATTACTTTGCGCTTTTTCATAATATTGTTCCTCCAACCAAATCTTCTAGAACTCTTTTAATATATGCTTTATAAGATAATTCTAAAAACAAATCAATGTGATCTATAATGAAATATTTCTATTCCTATCACATAGGATGTTTCATCCATATATTTCATTTCAAAGTTCTTAGAGATAACTTTTAATTTCATATAATAAACTAAGATCATTACTAACAAATAAAATATCATCAATATATATAATAAGAAATATAAACTTACTCCCACTAATCTTTTAGTATATACACTGATCAACAATATTTTTCTTAAAACCAAAAGAAATAATGGTATCATTAAACTTAATATACCATTGTTAGGAAGTTTGTTTAAATCCATATATTGACATATTAAGTTTACGGACCATGAATTCTTTACCCTCTAATATGAAGTCTTCAAGTTGTTTCATATGGACTTCCTCTTATAAACTCCTATTCATAAAAATTGTATTCACATTCATTTGATGTAACTCTAAATCATAATAAGCTACTAATGCCATGATATTTTAAAAGATTCCTTCTTAAATACTAGAGAGAAGATTTATTTATAATCTCTTCATTCATGACACTAATCCATTTAGTAAAATCATTACTATTAATGGCTTGTGAATATGTAACCGGATCCGTATATATCTTACTATGTATCAAAATCAGATTCTTGCAGATATATCACATAGTCATCTGGAATAGCAGATCTCCTTTCTCTTTGAGATCGTCTTAATGTTTTTCCTTACAATTCTTCTACAATCTATTCATTGGTGACAATCTCATTATAGATTTGTTGATCATTTAATTATTCTTCGTTGTTATACGGTTCAACAACTGAAGGAACAATTATTTCTTTATAAGTTATGGATAAAGATATTTGTATCTTAACTTCTGAAATGATCAAATTCTTATTTTTATCACTCCCACTGATTTCACCATTTTTAATGAATCTGACATTACCGGTTTCAATAATTATCGTACTATGTTTCGGATAGTAAAACTTGTACCCTTTAGATTACTTAATAGCCACAATATTATGGGTAACGAGGAATTACTTAACATACTCCTAACCAATTCCATAAGAGTACGATTACGCCTTACAGCTACACGCTTCTATTATGGCATATATAACAAAGTGTATTGAACACAAATGGCATATATTTCAAGGAGTTTAACAAACGGTTAGAGTATTAACCTGTTTCATCATACTTTACATAATATTCACCACCTCTATATGACTTTATGATTTTCACTTTCTATCTAGTTGTTTTTCAACCTTATTTATGTATACTTCAAGAGTACCCACTGTTTGAGATTTTTCACACAACAAATAGATATATCCATAACGTGAAAAATCAACTATAAAGGCAATAAAATACTTTTCTCCTCCAAAAAATGGAACATCAGAAGGTTTACAAATAATTTCAAGAAGCTATGTACTTATTGTAGCTCATTTCTTTGTGTGTTTAGTTTGTCTACCCTTAATACAATCTACACACACATCAAAATCAGTAAAGTTTAGATTCAGAAGAATCACATCATTTACTAATTTTCCTAACTTTTCACTAGATATTGACCTAGTCTTTTATGGCAAAGATAAATTTTCTATTAATTGAGCTACGCTTAATTCTAACATTATGATACAAGATCAAAAGGATTTTAATAAATAAACCATCAAATTTGAATTTACAGAAACCATCAACAATAATACCATAACTCACAAATTATAGTTTCTTAAATAAATATCATTTACCAAATTTAAATGAAAAACAATTAACATAAAGTTTTTGAAATAAAATCAAATTATGGGAAATTGAATAAACATAAAATTTTTAAAATAATTTAAATAAAATCCATTGTCTAACATTAAACATAGTGTCATAATGGTTTCAACAAAACTTTTTCCCAATTATCATAAATAAGAATTTCTTATTTGAATTTGTGGTTTAGGCCTTAAAAAATTCTTGTATCTATTAGAAACATAAATATTAGTACTTAAGTCAACCTATCATGTATTAAAAAGAATTTCAACAAGTAATTCGCAATATACAAAAGCCAAAAGCGTACTTTTCTTTTTCGAATCATTCTTTATATGTCATGTAATCTTTCTAAAAGTGTTCAATACATTAATGACACTTTTTCATTATTACATTACTTTCTTTTAGTAGATTGACCTAAATCTTTTAATTTTGGGTGTTGCTCACTTAATGCCTTTTCTAACTTATTCCCAAATTTCTTTCTAACTTCTTGAGTCATCAGATGAACATAACGATTACCTGCTACTTAAGCTTTGTCTCATCCTAAATTAACATAATGGTCAATTCTTTTACTTTCCACTTGTCTTAATAGTGTTAATTCAAAATGACCCATACCAAGTCGACAAAAATTGAGATAAATTGAATAAGAAAATTCTTATCCACAATCATCTATAAGGTTCTCAACTTGGTAGCAACATTAGTCATCCTAAGAACATACCCATACATGGTAAGAGTACCAACAAAAATGCATAGTAGTGATATTTATTTATAATACGAAAACATTCTTCTTGTCAAAATATTCCTTAGCACTATAACTATGGAAAACAATTATTCGCATAACTATAATGCTTAATCTGTTCAATATCTCCCAACCTTTATGGAAATTTTTTTCTCACTCACTGTCTTTATCAGTAATAATA